TCACCTCCTTCACTATCTAGACGATTTTCTTAATATCAGCCCTCCTCAGCGAAGCCTTGCTATCCAGGCAAAGACCTCATCCTGCAAGCATTCGAATACCTATCAATCCCACTAGCCGAAGAAAAGCTCGAGGGCCCGTCCACATCCCTGGTCTTCCTCGGAATTGTGCTGGACACGGTGCGCATGGAAGCCCGTCTCCCAGACGACAAACTGGCGGACCTCCGCGAGCTCCTCAGCGAGATGTCACGCTGCACCCAGACCACGCAACGCAAACTCGATCACTTCCTGGGGAAACTATCCTTTGCGTCGAGCGTAGTCGTACCAGGCAGAACATTTACACGGCGCTTATGGGATATCAACAAGAGGTTTAGCCGCGCCAAGCCCTATTTCCGTATCACTCTGACGGGCGAGGCCAGGAAAGACATCCACTGGTGGCAGCTTCTGATCCAGCACTGGAACGGGAAGGCATTCCTCCTCTATAACAGCAGTACATCGCCGGCCGACCTTAGACTGTACACAGACGCTAGCGGCACTCTCGGCTGGGGCGCATTCTACGGCAAGGAGCAGCGCTGGATCCAGGGCAGATGGACAAAGGAGCAAGAAGAAGAGAGCATCGGATACAAAGAGCTCTATGCCGTGGCGATGGCTTGCAGTACTTGGGGCCATCTGTGGTCCCGGCAACGTATCGTAATGCATTGCGACAATCAGTCCGTTGTCGAATGCCTGAAGTCAACCTCCAGCAAGTCACCAGGCATGATGTCACTGCTGCGTGCATTGTTCTTCGTTTGTGCAACTCACAGCTTCACCATTACTGCCAAATATGTACCTGGCCATCTGAATTCGATCGCCGATGTTCTGTCTCGTTTCAACCTGCAGGCATTCCAGCAGCTGGCACCATCGGCACGGCAAGCCCCGGACACTGCAATCCACCTCCCTCTCCTGGACTGATGCGGGAGGTTGCCGACCTGGCAGCCATGGCAATCGCCCCGACAATGCGGCGCACGTACACCACTGGCGAAAGGAAGTTTGCGCAATTCTGTGCGTTGCAGAGATGGACGCCCATGCCGGCTACAGACACGATGCTCAGCTGCTTCGCAGCACACCTCACGCAATCGGTTCAACCACAGACAATTCATGTCTACATGGCCGCAGTACGCAACATGCATCTCGAAGCCGGATTCCGAGATCCAACGATGAACGCGTTGCTGCTGCCACGTGTTATGCGAGGCATCAAGAGGACGGCGACTGACCCAGCAACCCAGCGCACTCGCCTCCCAATCACCATTGATTTGCTGCGGAAGCTCCTCAACCAACTCAGCCTGGACCAACGGCATCACCAGCAGGACAAGTGTATGCTCAAGGCGACAATGGTGCTCGCCTTTTTCGGATTTCTCCGATGCGCGGAATTCACTGCGCCTCCGGCCGGGTTTGACCCTGCAACTCATGCCGCGCGCCAGGATGTGACTCTGGACGTCACTCAAGGACGCACATATATCCGCTTCCACATCAAGCAATCGAAGACGGACCAATTCCGTCAGGGACATGCAGTGATAATCGGTAGTACCACTTCACAACCTTGCCCGGTTGCTGCCCTCCTGGCATATTTTACAGTCTGTCCGTCTGACGCCGCTGACGCACTCTTCCGCTACCGCTCTGGTAGACCGCTGACCAGGCAGGCGCTGACAGAAGAGCTCTGACAGCTTCTCCCACTCACGGGAACACCCAATTCGCGCGATTACGCTGGTCATTCGTTCCGCATCGGTGCCGCCACAATGGCAGCCATGGCGGGTACCCCTGACTGGCTAATCAGGGCAATGGGCCGATGGAGGAGCGACAGTGTCTTGCGCTACATCAGGACCACCGACACAGACATGGCGCAGCTGACCCAAAAGCTGTCAGAGGTACATGCGCATCACAGAACGCATTGAGGTATGTAAGAACCTGCCACGCGGGCACACAACTCACACCCATGTATGTACCCACACGGCTGACTGTTTGGAACAGCACAGCAACTTGCTCTGCTAGGATTGTGCTGACAAACTGCGCTGATAGCAACAACAGTGTCATTCACGTGCATTGCAATATGTCACAACTTAGCATGGAGGCTGGGCAACCATGGGCCAGCTATCTCCTCTCATCTGGCAATTATCACGGCCTTCGGCCATCACACTCATACTCCCACACTCCTGCCTCCTAACGGGCATTGCACTTCGTGCGTGGGCCGTCCGCACTCCGTCCATTTAATGGGCGCCCATCTCACGGGCTGCACTTTGTGCGTGGACATACATACACACTATCATACAGGCAGTCCACACTCCGCCCAGTTCATGGGTGCCCATTTCATGGGCTGCACCTCGTGCGTGGACTATCCTACATGATTATCACATGCCAGATTCGGTTGCCCAGCACTCCATGAATCCTCCATATGATGTATGCTCTCCATTGGTCTGCAATAGCGAGTGCATGCGTGTTAACCTTGGCTCTCCATATGAGTAAATAACAACAAGAGGGACAAACAAAACATGATGGCAAAGTTGTGAGCGTCGTAACTAGGGTCCAGCGGATAATGCTCCGAAAATGGACGTATAATGCTAACCATAATTATTGCTTCAAAACCTGCCTTATAAAACAAACAAATGTTGAGTTAGCTAGCTGAGCCGCCCGGCCGCACGGGCATGAAACCGAAGGCGGCAAAAACAGTGTACGCTTTTTTTCAACAGCAAAAATGGAACGCCGCGTACGCATGCTGTTCAAAAGTTCGCTCTCAAGCACTCGTGCAGTGTTTTCCTGCTGAGTGTTCACCAGCACCTGAGAGATAGGAGTTCTGACTTTCGCTTGCCGCTGGACAAAGAAACGAGCTCAGCCCTGAGTTGGTTGGTCTCAGAACTAAAAGAAATCAGCAATCGCTGCGATAGAAATAACAGAGACACCCATCATTGCTTCTTGGCCGGCGACTACATGTAAAGCCGAACGACAGTACAGGCACAGCAGTGGCCAAGCAAAAAATCAGCTACGACTTCTTCTTCTCTACAAAGCGAAAACTTTAAACTCGGCGACAAGTCGCAGTTTTTTTAAATAGTCTCGCTCGCGCGCTCCTCAGTCAAAATGATGCTGTAGCTGTGTTCACTGCATGGTGCTGCCACTGGATACACGAAAAGTGCAGGTGACACGACTTTTGTTTGTCACCACTTGGCCAAGTAACTACGCGTTGTCAAGAAGCTGTGACGTCAGACTTCGACGGCCTATTGTAACGGTGATTTTTATTTTCACTCCGGTATCACTGCGGTAAATCCCAGTTTATACTATTCAAGACAATGAATCTCATTCAGTGAACTATGTGTTCCCAGACTTATTCACTGAATACAGTCATGTTCCATTCTTTAACCATGGTGCAGAATACATACATACTTGTACTATATTTCTGCAATTGCAAATTGCACCAAATTGTTGTAATATCCTAAGTAAAGTAAGATAATACAATTATCAATTGTGGGTATGTGTTATAGTTGTGGCCTGCATAGATTAGATTGAAAAATCTGAGGAAGATACACTTCAACAGGAAATAGAACAGCTTTTTCTGATTGAAAATGGTGAAATTTCATGTATCCAACTCACACGACGACAAACATATCTGTGACCCCCCCCCCCATTTGTTTAGACAATCAACATAAGCACTACCCAAGGGACAAATTCACAAGTTTATATAAACTTTCCATGTTTTTAATTTTTGGAGTTTGGTGGTAGGCCTTGACAGAATATGCTAATATTTTCGTGAAATTATGCTTTTCGCATTGCTGAAAAAATTGCAGAATTATGCTATTTTTATGCAAAAAGTTATCATATTATGCGGCATTATGCTCACATATGCTGCTAATGTACATGTATATGATGGTTCTGTGCAAAATAGCAGGTGAATTTTTTTGTTGAGGGCGTTGTACTGTAGTAGCAAAAGTTCAACGGGGTCAACGCACCGTCCGACCTAGCTACGACCGTCACCCTGGTCACTGATTGTAGTAGACTGGCCATGTTATCAAGGGAGTCGTAAACCTAAGCCTTCCTAGTGCGTCTACTTATACTTGTACTTGTAGAACATGTACAACTGTATGGAATTTGATGCGAGCAGGCGGATTAGTCCAATTTTATGCGATTCGTATGCAATTTGCCTCGAATTATGCGATTATTCGATTTTGGTAGGAATTATGCGAAAAATGATGCTAGCATAATCTGTCAAGGCCTATTTGGTGGTCTGAGCCTCTTTAATTTGCCACCTTGAAACGGCTACAAGAATGGCGAACGGACCTCATCTTTAGCTTCAATTTAGGAAAATTTAGGATGAGTCTTGGTTCAAAATTTTGACAAAGTCTGGCTCCCGGCACTGGCGATCACGGGCGTGAACGGCTCACACACAACTTTTGGTCAAAATTGTACGGGATCGGCGCCGGGGCAGATCGCAAGAGTTGGGCACTGTCCAACTTTGCCGGCGGTCCTTTGCGATATTTTACCGTATGATTTTGTTACGACTGCACTGGTTCACATAATCGCAATGCGCCAGGATAAGTTGCAAGAGGCCCACTCCCAATGACTCCTGGCGCGTATTGGCGATATGTGAACAAACCCTTTGCGCTTTGTCATCCAACGATTCTTCACCAAGGAGTGAATGCGATGCTTTTGCTCAAAAGCCCACTTCAAACAACGTTGATCCCCAATTTGTAATGATCTGAAAACATTTAAGTGTGTTGCAAATTATTTATGATAACGATCGCCGTGGGTCGATTTTTTTATTGCTGGTGGTGAGAGTGTTAAAATTGAGATGCGCCTTGCTACATTGGCTTCTTCTTGTCCTGGTCTTTCTAAAAAAAACAATGGATCAAGAAAATCCATCACATAGATTCGGAGCTTTGAGCCGGTGATTTCATCACATTGCAAATGCCGACAATTCAGTGTAACAGATATGGAAAGTGTGAATGGCTGCACGGCATATTCCAAGATGGGTGACTTACAGATATAGTGTTGTATTCGGTATTCCACCCGGCACCATTGTTAATCCGCGAGAGGCGCAATCTACAGTGTGAGTAGGTGCACCATCACACGAACATGATGCTGGACAACTCATCACTGTAGTACCGGTGAGTACATAGCAGCAGATGACCAATGACAGTACAGTGTGGATTGACATCTGTTAGAAACAGGACACGAAGATGTTGGCCGTAGCCATCATCACATTCGCTCTCATGTTATTGGGTTCTTGGCACTTCTTCTTGCAGATAAATACAAACAAACGAACAACAAACATGTTTAGCACCGCTGGATTAGTCACAATAATCTTTACCCACATCTGGAAACTAATGAGGCCAATAATGCTGACTGCGAGGGTATTAGTCCTAAGTTAATTCAGCGTAATGCATCACACAAGGAGCGAGGTCACATTCCTCTCCACTAATCTACCAACACTAAAACATCCATGCCCTTGCCCTCTCTTTGAATCAAATCGCCAGAGACCACAACACGCTGACAACAGCACCAGGGAACGAGAAATACGAGTCATGAACTGATCCACGGCAACAAATCAACAATGACGGCAACAGTAGCGCATGCTCTCTGAAGCCATTTATGTACGGAAAATGTACGCCGACTGAGTTTGATCTCGACTCACCTCAAATTCCATGATTCTCCGGGCTACGACTTTAGAAGTTTAGTCTCCTTTTGACGATTTTTTCAATCTTGGGCTTCCTGGAAAGCTCGTCGCAAGAGGAGCCTAGACTTGCCATCACGAATGACAAAACTCTGGCGCTTTATCCCAGTGTCTTAGTTGCCACGCCAATAATCCAACAGAAGACGTCTTGCCATTTCGCTCTTAGCCTTGCTCGTAACAACTAATTACTTCAAAAAGTTCACAAACTGCCACTAGTCCGTATGCCATTTTGAACGTGTTTCACCGTCACTACTTGCCCAGAATGATGGGAAATCCCTCATTCAAATCTGTGCACGCGGCTATTGCGCGACATTCGCCGCGATTCGACTTTCAGGCTTCGTAACTCTGGAACCACACATCGGGGCGCTTCCACGATTGTTTCAATGGGCAGCTGGGAACATTCTTTTCGACCAACGTGTACGAACTTTAGTTCTTGGAAATATAACAGGACTGACTGAGTTACGGTCAATTGAAATGTTGCACACAAAGGAGACTATTTATGGTATCATAAAGTGTAGGTTATTAGACCTAAAACTAATACAAGAAACACTGATATTCTAAAGATAGCACTATTGGAGGCGTGATTACATGAGCAGCAAGCAGTGTGCAATGTTTGTGACTACTCGTATACTGCTGTATTCAGGCATTTGGTGTCCAACCCCCAATGTTTGGAATTGTAAGATGATTCGTGCTTCAGTGTGGTGTGCTATGCTAGTAGTTTTCGTCTACTCTCCGTATTAGAAGCCTTGTTTATTCGTACTCGTGATCCAGATTTACGCAAACAGAAAGAATTCGTTACAGCACTCACACTCTTCACTTAACATGCCCACACTCACATACCCACTCATGTACATGTACCTTACTCACCTGCATTTCTCTTTTCTCTACATTTACTTTCAGTCTGCTCGCTGCTCATGTTATCACACCTCCAATAGTGCTTGCTTTAGAATATCAGTGTTTCTTGTATTAGTTTTAGATCTAACAAAGGAGACTGTGACATTTGGACTACTTTAGGAAAAATAGCTTCCAAAACTTATTGAAACTCGGATGTTGAGCCAATAATAAATGTAGAAAGGAAGAGGACATATGGATACGAGTTAAGAGTAACTCTCCATCACTGTAACAAGATACTATATGCAGTCAGAAAGTGCAACAACTAGGCACAGTTGGACGGCTGTCGGTTAGCGCTACGGAAATGTGTTGACGCTAGGTGTCAGGACGTCGAATGTCTCAGTACTTTGTCAGCTTTGTGCCTAGTTGTTGCACTTTCTGACTGTAGAGTATCTGGTTACGGTGATGTAGAGTTACTAGCTCTTAACTCGTATCCATATGTCCTCTTCCTTAAAACTTATTGCCGTTTATATTAAATGTTGCTGTTGAACTCGGATGGTGAGCCGATTAAATTAGTGTGAAAAGACTGTATAAGATCCGGTTACGTTGGTGGACAGTTAGTCATAACTCGTAACATTTTGTCCTTCTTCTTTTCACAATATTTGCTATTATTATGCATTCTCACTTTCTTTCGTTGGTGATACACATATGCAACGCGTATAATTCTCATACCCTTGTTTTGTGCACACCTTTATGAGAAGTATCACACTTTGATATTTTAGTGCTGTCACTGTACCTTGCTACTCTAATTTGATTGCTATAATATTTCCTTTGTTCTTATTTTATTCTTTAGTACAACGGTGATTCCTGAAGAGTGTTGTACGAAAACATTTTCGAATCATCTTTTTTTCCATCGCTTTTCTCCTTACCTTTTAGATCGTTTTTCGCACCGTCTCCAGAACTTAACATTGTTTAATAAAGTAGTCCAAATATCACTTAAGCTCGTTCTCCTTATTGCAATATTAAAAATTATTGTCTCCACGTCGAATATTTAAAGGAGACTGTTTTAATTTTTCATCGAAAGTTCACGAAAAGATAGCAACCCATTCGTTTATTACGCTCTTGCTTGTAGCAGTTTAGCACTCTTGTGTGGGGTAGTGCCTTTGCCTTTTGCGTTCCTGACTTGTCAGTTTAAGCACTCTGACAAGTTACGTTCCGGCTTGGTTTTAATCTGGCTTAGAAACTATTTTTTTCATTACTACCAGGTTCGGGCTCATTTCCTCGGTGCTGCACTGATGAGTCCACAAAGGACGAAACAGTTCTGTCCGCAGATTGAGTAACAATCCATTCATAAAGCCTTTTTATCAATTTTTGTTCGAAAGTACAAATAAGATATCACGAGGTTAGGGAGGGTTCCTCTCCAGAGATACAACGAGTAACATTTTCAAACTTCATCTCCACATAATCAATGACCACACATCTATGCAAGAACGGAATTCATCGCTATGCTTTGGTGAATGTGGACCAAGAGCGCAGTGCGGAGAGGTGACGAATTTCAATTTATTTTCAAATGGCCGAGTTCGTCGCAACTTCTGAGTTATCTTCACCTTGCCGTTTAAGTAGAAGTAGTAGAAGTAGTAGTAGTAGTAGTAGTATTTTACTGGGGTATACCCAACAGGCCTATGGCCTTTTTACAGGGTGCCCAAGGAGAAATTGTGAGCAGCTAACGCGAAAAGCAGGCAAGGTACGCTTGGATCGTATGATCGCTGGTAGTGCACCAAGAGCAGTCAGCACCAAGAATTGAGAGACTGTAGAGGCCTGGCCGGGATATGAATAGGGGGAGAAAGAGACTATTGAATGTTTGATCTCTGGTCTGGGAGGTAGTGTGGGTAGCATCATTTCGGGTCGTGAAGATTTGTGAGGTGAGGGGACTGCCAAGGGACCTGATGCACCGAAAAGTAAAAATGAACAGCTTCAAATGTCGGCAAGAATCAAACCTGACTAATGTATGGTGTAACCTTCACATCCGCACACGCTACATTTATCTGTGGTTGCTTGAGTAATGCAAGCGGGACTCTAGTAAAGGCCCTGCAGTGAGAGTCGTCACAGACTGGAAAGAAAATCACATCCATGTCGAGCTAAGCAGGAGTGTTTGCGATAGACCCAAGAACGCGACATAAGAGAACAAGCCACGGAATGTGAGTTTTATATAAGGAAGATTTTTCCTGAGACTCTGTCGGGCAGAGTTTTCGCATCCACACGAGTGTCAAACTTCTGCAGAATCAAGCCGCAGATCAGACCGACCATCAAGTAGTCAATGACCGAAAATCCCATTTGCTGCATCCATGTTTTCCTTGTGCCAGGCTACGAGTTACCAAATAACTGTGTGGCGAACCACACTTCCCCCATCCGATATACATGTATTTGTATGTTTTCATTGCCTATACGTTTCATTCATTATTTCAACGGTCCTTTGAAAGGAAAAGAAAGAACATGATCACGGCAGTGTGTTGGAAGAGTAGATAACGTAGAAGGTAAGTGAAACGGTCTCCCTCTGCAGTAGAGGTGTAAGTGGAATGAAATTCGGAAAACTTGGCCTGTGTTGCATTCCTGCTCTGCTGAACACCCTATGTTTCTGGCGCACCTTGCCTGTGTAGACGCCGACACTGCCAGGCTAGCCTAAGAAGCACGGCCCCACCACCACTTCCCGCATTTGTTATGGAGCATACTGGATAGCAGGCAGGCATAGTGGGATGGTCTAAGACCATGATTGAGAAACAGAGGGTACCAGGTTCAAGTCCTGCTTGGAAGCGGAAGGATTTTTTCCAGCCGTGCTGCGACCCACAGTTAATTGGGAACTCATGGCCTGGCACGAGGAAAACATGGATGCAGTGAATGGGATTTTCGGTCTTTGACCACATGCTGGTGAGCTGATCTGCTCACCTCCCACCGCTTTAGGAGCTGCATCTGCGCCTTGATCCTTGAAGGGTGGTGGCGTTCCTACGGATGCGGAAAACTCGGCCTCTATATAGAGAAAGCGAGTCTCACGCGAACCGTGAAATTAAATACTGGATATAATACTGCTTACATAGAAACATTCTTGAGCCACGCTTACTCTACAGCGTCACTTACCTTAAACTGAAGCACCATAGTGCTCGTCTCTACTGGTTGCAACACTGTTCAAAACCAGTACTGAGAAATGGTCTCAATTACAATTGTAAATTCAAATCCGGCCAACAAAACCCTATAGGAGACAACAGAAGGATAGGAACGATCGAGTTACTTTGAATCAATCGACATTCGACAAACAAAACTTTCCAAAACGTTTCCACCTACCAGCTGTTGGTGTATATTTCAGGATCAATTGGGTGTAGCACACGAATCACGATAAAGCTCGTTTGCCTTGCGATAAGGATAACTGCTTCCGGGAGCAAAGCCCTAAATGAAACAAATTGATTACTAGTTGCTCGCTTTCTGCTTAGACTCTCTGCAAGCATATGCAAAGCACACGCACGAGCAGTGCCATGATATCAGTCAGTGGTACTCCGTAGCAGCTCGGTTGGCTGCTGCACGTAGACATCCTTTGCTGACCCACTAACACAAGCCTAAGAAATGAGCTACATGTGCATGTACATGTAGATGGACCCGTAACTAGATGGCTAATGTATACCAGGGCTATGAGTGGCACGCAGTGGTCACATGCCAGTGCTACTGTACATGTATGCTCGACATATCATGGGCTCAAACACACAAGCTTATCGATAACGTGGCATATTTCCTTACTCCATATGGGAAAGGATAAGAAGCAATGTGACGCCAATCAAAGAACAGGACAGGCTGCTATATGGACATTAGTCGCAAAAAGGTGTTGGTCGACTGAACTCAGCCCCACATGACTTTTACATTGCGCCTGCGGCAAACCCGCTTGTCACTGCTTGTCATCAAGATGTCATTAGATGAACAGCATGAAATTGTGGAACGTGCCAAACACATTCTTGCTAGTCGCTATATTATGTGCGTACATGTGCGTATAGGCGATGTACATGAGCCCCAATCAGCAAGACTGAACGCAGTGAAGGCAAGTCTTACCAGGGCGCTCTGATACCCACAGGATCGTGTCAAATGCATAGAGAGAGGGAAAGTGACATCTGAGCTCCTAATCTACATCAAAGCGGTGCATTGCCTTCGTACAACATAGTTTGGGACATAGCTTGTGCACATGTTCGCTAACTCCATCTTCCCCTCTTCGCTCTGACCACTATCTAGAAGGTTCACTACACTGGGGAACACCATTTCGTTAATATCATTATTCCACGATCACGCATATGCCGGTATGGATTTTTCAGAAGGCAATATTGGTACATGTACGTCACGAGATGCGTTAGACCATCACACCACCCCTGATTGTTACGCTGGCGATGCCCAATGAGCAAAACTGGTTTCACGCTTGTGATCTACAACGACAGGGCAGATATGTATTGAGGGCGTGGGCGGACGGGGGGAAGGGTGAAGAGCCGGAACAGAGGAGCATGGACAATACCAATTGCCTGACCACTTAGTGGATATAGCATCACTGGCCGCTCGCAAGGGTTCCTGACCTGGCTGGAACAGTAGATTTCTCTATAGATTATTAGATTCTCATGACCTCAAGATGGTGAGCGTTGCAGCCCTTGGCATTATCCGCCTGGCTCGTGAGCCACTGTACCTGCACGTGGTGATCCAATGTGCGATTTGACAGTCAGCTAACCGTCTGGCAGGCTTCATACGCAACCACATCCATCTGGTGAGACTTCATGCCAAGACCTGCAGGTCGTCTGACCCTCACGTGGCCAACTCACTCTATCTGCTCACATGTCCCAGCCACTCTATATTACGCTGGATATGTCCATGGACTCTTACACTCAGCTTCTCATTGTCCACCCTGCAAAGGTGTGCTTTTGAAAAACTCACACAATCGCCCTAGCCTGGGTGGTGCATAACACCGAAGACAGGTAGACGCTGGGTGTGTGTGTGTGGGGGGGGGGTGCACTCATTCGGGGTCCAGGCAGCGCACGCATACAACAACATGCCTCTGATATGTTTCCCAACTTTACATGGGTGAATGGCCACTATACCAATCTTAACCACCAGAAGTCTGCGTCAAAGAAGTCGAGCCTTGGCTGTTGCAGCGCATGCCACTTGTACATTGCACAACACAGCCTGTCACAGTTTGTCAGCACCATGCCTTCGGACAACCTATATGCCATTGTTAAACTAGCAGAGGAACTACTTGTAGGCTCGACCCTGGGCACACAGGCGATGTGCAGGTGAGTACATCATAGAGATCGTCAAGTACAGACTAGTGCATTCCTTGTACAAAATTAATGGGTCAGACTAAAGGGAACTATTTACTAAAGTACTTAAACTACGAATGATCCAAGTACATATTGGACATGGGCTGACAGGGGTCATATGTTTGGAGTGTAGAAATGGTAAACGGCATTATTGGCAAACAACCACTGCTGCAAAATTGAGTTTGATGAACAACGGACAAAGGAATTTACCAAAGCCACATCTTTTAAACACACGGCGAGGAGACAACAATTTGATAACCGCAATCAATAAAACTAGCTGAACCGACATTTGTGTACTTTATTCATGCAATGTAAAAAACGGTGGAGACGATGTGCAATAAAACGATGAAAATATGAAGAAATGGTGTAGGGAAAAATATGGATTCAAGCAAGTTTTCGTACAACACTCATCAGGAATCGTCGTTGTACTAAAGGACACTGAAACAAAAATTGAACTATTATAGAAAATCTAAGTTAGAGAAATAACACTAAGAGCAACAACAGTGAAATTTACAAGTGTGAATTTTAACAATCAAAGCGAGAACTGAACAAAGGAGAAAGGAAGGAAAGACAACGTGATAACACATAACAGCAGTACATTACACCTAGAACATTAACGGCCAAGCTTGGCCGCACTAAACACGACACGTTACTTGAACAATTTCAAACCAATTATACTATCTTTCTGTACACACAAATTAGGCTTGTACAGACGCTGATAGATAGCTTCCAACACTTTTAACTGTAGTCCATAACCATGACGACCACGGCACAATACAGTGAAAAACTTGTTTGAATCCATATTTTTTCCCTACACCATTTCTTCATATTTTCATCGTTTTATTGCACATCGTCTCCACCGTTTTTTACATTGCATGAATAAAGTACACAAATGTCGGTTCAGCTAGTTTTATTGATTGCGGTTACCACATCTTTTGTTTTTATTTGTTTTATTCTACTTCACAATATCGTGTTTCACTGCGTCCAAAATTAATAATAATAATAATAATAATGTCAGGACGTCGAATGTTTCAGTACTCTGTCAGTTTTGTGCCTAGTTATTGCACTTTCTGACTGTATATAGTATCATGTTACAGTGATGGATAGTTACTCTTAACTCGTATCCATATGTCTTTTTCTCTTCCACAATAATAATAATAATAATAATAATAATAATATTCCTGGTGGTGACAGTCAACTTTTTCTTCAGACTTTTCCCGTTTGTCTCTTTCCCTCAAACCAGTTAATAATAATAATAATAATAATTTTAATATGGCAATAAGTAGGACGAGCTGAAGCGACATGTGGACTACTTTATTAACAATGTAAGCGATGGAGACGATGCAAGAAACAACCTAAAGGGTAAGGAAAAATACATGTAAGAAGAAAAAGGGCAATGGAAAAAAAAAAAAGATGATTCGAACAAGTTTTCGTACAACACTCTTCAGGAATCACCGTTGTACTAAAGAACAAAATGAGAACAAAGGAAATAATATAGCAATCAAGGTAGGGTGACACGATACAATGACAGCACTAGAATATCGAGGTGCGATTTCTCACAAAAGTGTGCAGAAAACAAGGGTATACAAGTAAGAACTAAGCGTGACAAGTGTGTATCAGCAACAAAAAACAAAAAAGTGAGAACGAATGATAATAATAACAATAATAAACAAGAAGGTGACAAAACACATTTAGGCACAAGTGGCAACAACGTTGCCACACTACACAACAGAACATTATTTGAACAATTTTAGGGTAATAACACTATCTTTCTGGACACACAAATTCGGCTTATGAATGCGCTGACAAACAGCTTCCAAAACTTGTAACTGCAAAAGATAACCATGACGAGCACGGCACAAAACAGAAAAACAGGAATCAGAATAAGTACGACAACAGTCAGTACTAGAAAGCAAATGATTGTATACTGAAGACTTGTTATTACGAGACGGACGCACACAATCTCGACTCACGCGCACACCCTCACACTCCCTCTCACCCTCACTCAGCTCACCTTCTCCCTCACTGTCCGAATCAGAACCTGCTCCGTCATCCACCGCGGTTTGACTCTCCTCCTCACTTGCATCGTCCTGCGTCTCACCTTCACCACCCACGCCAACCCTGAATGCCGTTGCCTTCACGTCAGTCGTCGTCCTTTCCGATTGTTTCCTTTGTATTTTTACCGTGAATTCATAGGTCCGGTTGTAATCTGCTGTAGATCTCCGTGGTCTGTCATTTGCTGCTTTGTTTTGTGGATTAGTTGTTGTTGTTGTTGTTGTTGGATGTGAACCTGGTGTTGTTGTTGGATGTGAAACTGGTGTTGTTGTTGCCGCCATGGTTGTTGGTCTTTCTGTTGAATCCAGCTCTGGTTCCGGTGGGACAAATCGACCACCACGGGTGCTCCCCACCAACACAGACCTCGAAGGAGGAGGGTCAGGGGGAGGCAGAGGTGCTGTCACCACTCGAGGCACAGCCCCATGCAAAGCACCCAGAGGCACAGACTTAGGCACACCCGAGGGCTGCACCAGTGGCGGTTCCGCACGCACCTCCAAAGAGCTGCCAAGCTCCAGCCCGTCCAACACAGATGTCAGAGGGGGAGCGGCAGACAGCGGCAGGCAACTATCCTGCCGTCTAGGTGATGGGTTTTTCCTAGGCCTCCCGCGTTTGGGCCTCTCAGATTGCGCACTGGGTGGAAGGATGTGAAGTGGAGTGTGTTGTTTGATACGTGCGTTCAGGTGCTGAACAGTCCTACCAACATACCGACTAGCACAATGTCGGCATTCGAAGTTGTAGATAACATGACTGAGGTGGAGGGTTGGTAGGACGTCCTTCCGCACCGTGAACGCACGCATTGTTGTGAAGACTGGCACAAAATGTACTGCATAATAAGTACGACGGACGATAGACTTGACTGCGTGACACACTTTGATCGATTCCTGCCCCTTCCATGGCAAACATAGATAGACGGGACAGCGAGGTGGACCAATCAGCACCGATTTCGGTTTCTGCTCCATGGACAGAAACTTACGCAACAAGAATTCCGGGTAGCCATTCTTCAAGAAAACAGATCGAAGGAAATCGAGCTCGGCCTGCTGCTTACTGGGCGAACAAATACTTTGCTTTGGA